AGAGAACCAGAAAGAAATCTGCAGGCAAAACCAACCAACAGTGTCGTACGAAACAGGTTTCCCTGTATAACGTGAGATGTGTCTGGCCTGGTCAGATTTATGATGCTCGAACTTTCTTGTGTGTGCTGTCAAATTTGAATAGCTATGTGGCTCCTCCGTTAGGCATTACATCGACGCGAGACTTGATCAGATGAATTTCGTTATGCATGTTTACATACTACGGATCAAAAAAAACTACCAAAAAGAAACCTGCAGGCAAAACTAACCAACAGGGGTTAGAAACCGGCTACCAATTTTAAATGGACCTAATCTACACCATGCTCAATAGAGTTTAACCCACCTAATACAAAGTTTAACAAAAGTAAACACAGATATATAAATCAGACTTCACAAATCAAAACCTCTGTATATTTGAACGCATCTGACATAAAATGCAAGAGAAGATACAAAAGGAAGAGTACCAACATATGGAAAGAGTAACAACATGTACTCCATCCGTACTCCCAACATAAGGAAGATACATCAAATGCAACATGAGATACATCAAATGGAACTTTATTTACTCCTCTACTCGTCGTTGGTATCACTATCCTCATCATCGTCCTCGTCGTTGGTATCAATGTCATCGTCCTCCTCCTCTATAGCCATGAGGCCCTTTTGCTCGTCAGCGCTGATGCGGTTGGCCACCTGCTCAGCATCGGCACGAACCAGGTTGTGCCAGTGCTTCTCGGTGTTGTGGGTGGTGATGATTCCCTACATCGCGACACTAGTGTCGAAGCCATCTATCTGGCTCAACGGACTACAAGTCTTCACTGATAGGAATGAAACAATGAGTGGAGCAAAAGGTCCAAACAAAATGTCAAAATCCACAAGAGAAAAAAAGGATAGCATGACAAAAGAATGAGTAAGGAGTGCGATATAGGAGAAAAGATGCTCATGAACAGCTCAAGCAAGGAAAGCTTCAAGCGGTGAAGAAAAGATCACCACACAAGTCATCTACCCTTCATCACAGGGTATTCTACGCGCTTGCGAAAATCTTATATTTTAGTTTGCACTCATAAATACCAACAGTGTGGTGCTCAAGTTTGTTCCTCGTTAGATGGTGGAAGGGGCCTCTTGACGATCCATGTGATGCATCATCTCATCCACAAAGATTGAACCGACTTTGATCTTACGACCCATGATGGATTTGTGCGCTTCTTTGCATGTGACCAGAGTTGTGGGGCATTGGGCCTAGAAGTAGGTTGGGCAACCCAGGTGGGATCGGGCGATAGCTAGGAGCTATTGCCATTGATTTTCCTTGTGGCACTTGTTTAATGGCTTGGATGGCTACCACATGGTAGGTTGTCGAGTTGATGTCTCTTGTTGTCCCATTGGATCCATATGACAACTCATCCGGCCCATTCGATCAAACTAACATTGATCCAATGCTCCACGCGACTTAGGATATGTTTCTTTGCATATTGGGGGAGTGGGACTTGATTCGGGCAAGATAGTAGGGATATGTTGGGTGACCCACTCTTTGGCTCAAATTCTCTCATCTTTGCTCAATGTCTCCCTTGGAACTAAATATTCACCGAAACTTGTGAAACTCATTAGAATAAAGCCCTACAACTATGATGGTATACACAATATTGTTTTAACTATGTTGACAATGAAAAATTTGCAATAAGGATCACCAACAAGCCCAACAGCCCCTCCCTCTTAGATCATTGCTCCTCTCGTATAAAGACCGGGAATTAAGAGCAAACGATTCATCAAGAACTAAGGTGGTTTTAATGCACAACCTCTCGAGAAATAAGGCAACCTAGACATTCGGGCGCCCGAAGGCAGATCTGGCAGGTGTGACCTGGATATTTTGGCACCAACTGTTCGATTCTGGCAATGTGTGCGACGAATGCATTGTGTTGAGCGGTTAGATCCATGGTCTGGAGCGGCGAGATCCATGGCAGGACCATATCCCACACGTACATGAGGGCTTCAGCTCCTACGACTTCCTCCTTACTGGTGACCCAATCTTCAAGCAGCACATCCTGTGAGCAGCCCGGCCGTGGTGGCCGGCCGACGTGCTCGGAGCAGCCCGCCGCACCCAGCGGCTAGCGGATGCGATACGTAGGGGCACGTGACGGCTGGCCTACTTGCTCAGAGCAGCCCGCCCGCGTGGCGTCCGGCAAGGGTGGCGCGCAGGGGCACACCGCGCCCGGTGGAGGTGGCGCACAGGGCCGCACGATGACTGGCGAAGGCAACACGTAGGGCCCGACGAAGGCGGTGCACAGGGGCTTTCACGACGCGCGCGCTCGTCTCCCGAGATGGTCGCCTCCGCCACGCAGACAGGCGGTCTCGTCCCGTCTCCTCCCACGCACCCCATGATCGCACTGATGTTGACCCCGTCCCACGTCACGTGCCGCCCTGCGGCGCGGCACCTCGGGCTGCTGCTCCGCGCCCCCGTGCCGCATGCTGCCGACAACACCATCGCCGGCCACCCAATCCCCTCCCTTGCGCCCAGCAGTGCGACATCGCGGCCGTGTCCTGGCCGAGCCCGCCGCCTCCTGGGCAATCGCTCCGGCCCCTAGCCCCGTCCTGCGGCGTCCTAGGGACGCGCGCCTTCCCCTGCGCCTCTCGGTCTTTATTGAAAAGGCCGGGGCGCTGCTTCTATGGCCGCTCGGGCCATTCCCGTGTGCGCCCTGCGGTGGCCGCGGCCTGGCGCCGCCGTGCCACTGCCAGTTGACCGGTCGGCCAGCAGCCTGACCCCTGCCCCGGCTGAAGCCCCCCGACCAACGCGATCGTCATTGTTGGCCCCGCTGATGGAAGAAAGAAAGGGAGGCAAGAGGAAGAAGACAACACTGAGGGTAAAAGAGGGACGGTGGGAGTGGGAGGTTGTTTATGTTATTTCTCCGTCTATTAGCTGATAGTTCTTATTTAGAGGTGTTGCTAACCAGGGTTTACAATTTCGGCGAAATATCGCTGAAATTTCCGAAATTTTCGAAATATCACCTTTTTCGCTGAGGTTCGAAATTTTTTTATATCGGTCAAAATTTTTCGGTTAAATTCATCTTTCACTCTAAAATTACACCAAACCACACTAAAATGGCCCTCCATATCATCTAGTCTTATCAAAGCCCTAAATTTCTTCAAATTTATTTAATTTTCTCACTCACACATTGGACGGCACTAGTATATGCAACTCGCCCACCGTCAAGACATTAATCAGACATCACAGCGGCTCTACTTACATGATATATTATGTTATTTCGTCGATGTTATATAAATTTATGATGGATGATGGATTATAGAGTTTTTTTAGTGAAATGATGCCAAATTTGTTTAAAACTCTATTTAAATTTATTTAAATTTGAACCGATATTTCCGAAATTTCCGAAATTTCGTATTTATCGCTGGGGACCGAAATTTTTTTCTTACCGGTATTGTAAACCCTGTTGCTAACAATTAGCTAGTTTATTATATATACCTTTGGATCCGAAAAAGATAATTACTAGTAGATAGTAACTACTATTTAGAGGGATCAAACAGGTCTAAGTTTGATGATATGGGTTAGAGTATTTTTTGACAGGACGGGTAGTTTCGATGAATTTACTCATAGATACACCCTTGACTCCCCGTGGTCCCGCGCTAGGGTTGTCATCCTCCCGTGCGTGCGCACTAGCGACCCCTGGCTAAGGATGGATTCGGATTGGATCCGGACGGATACGGATTCGGATAGCACTATTTACCACATTTTAATTCGAATACAAATGCGAATACGGATATTGTCGGATACTAATACAAAACAGATATCTTGAATTTGGATTCGGATTCGGATATCCACTTGATTTTGAAGATCACATGTATCTATTTTCTTATTGATAGTTTCATAGTAAAATAAAATCATTATGGACGAAGGGATTTAACATATAGCTATATAACACAGTGGATAAAGACAACTACTAAAAATAAAATATTTTAATCAATATTTTAATAATTAAATATATAAAATATAATAAAATTAAAGATTATATATATTAATTATTGAATTTAGATAAATAAAAATAAATTTTAAAATGATACAATATAAAATAAAATACTAATTATATGATTAGCCATGTTAAAATTAATTTAACTCCAGATTTATATATTTTTAATAATATTAAAATTATATTAGCCTTAGATAACTTTTAAATAATAATAAATATCATCTGTTATATTGAATTTATTGTCACTTACATAGTTAATTAGTCATAATTGTAAGATTTAGATGGTTTCAAAATAATTTGTACTTCCCGGATACAGATATTATCGGATATTTCGTATTTTTGTCGGATACGGATGTGGAATCAGATAGTGAATAAACTTCAAAAACGAATACGGATACATCCATTTAATATCTATATTTAAATCGAATACGAATATAGATATCCATATTTACTATAAAACGGATACGGATATCGGATGTTTTGAATATGTGGACATCCGGATCCATCCTTACTGGCCCTGGCCTCTCATCTGGTAGACATATTCTCCCCCATATCGCTGCACTGCACATATATAATCTCTCTCTCCCCCCACTCTGTGTATTTATACTCGTCTGATCAGTCTCTTTCTCATATGTCTCTTGCCTTTTAATACCCTAACCTACCCAAGACAAGTTGACAACACAAGAAACCAATTGAATTCGGCTGCCCTAATATCTCATCGATCTCCTTTGACATCTCAAGAGAAAGCTAGAGAAGGGAACGAGACGAACAAGAGAGAGAAAGCACTGGCTCTTGCCTCTAGCTAGCTAGCTAGCTAGCTACTGCGACAGAAACTCGCAAAAAAGCGGCACCACACAACACACACGCACACCAGAAAAACACAAAGCACAAGCAAAATAAGCATCATCCCCCGGCCACCAAGAACTCCAACAATAACCTTCACTTCCTTTCTTGATCCGGCCGATCCCTTACGCTAACCGCTAGCTGCTAGCTGCTACAGCCAAGGGAGAGGGCGCGTGCGCGGCATCTATGGAGGCGCGGGCAGCGTCGGCGCCGGACCTTTCGCTGCACATCAGCCTGCCGAGCAGCACCGCGTCGCCGTCGTCTCCCGCCCCAGGGCTGGGCGCCGGATCAGGAGCTGGGCGTGGTGCGCAGCCGGCCGGAGGTGACCCGTGGCGGCGTCTGAACGGATCCACGGCGTCGACCGAGCTGTCGCTCTCGCCGCCGCCGGGGCAGCAGGAGGTGGCTGCTGGGGACGTCCTTCCGTGGCGGTTCCGGCCGCCAGCGGCGACGAATAGTTACTCTTCCTCCACCGAGGAGGCAGCAACGTTCGTGCCGGTGACCGTGCCGCGGCTTTCGTTCGACGCCGCGGCGGAGGCGGCGCGGGCGAGGCCAATCAACGGAGTGCCCGTCTACAGCAGCCCGCGGGTCGGCGCCGCCCATCCTTTTCTAGGCGCCGGCAGCGGCGAGTACCGCCAGGGCCACCACCACCCGAAGGCCGCCGGGCTATACAACAATCCCTACCACCACTCCTCGTCGTGGCCCTCGTCCCTGCGCTCGACGACGACGTCCCCCGGCGCCGTGGCGCCGTCGGCGTCCGACCCCGCGCCCGCGGCTGCGTCGTACCTCTCGCCGTCCGCGTACCACCGGATGCTGTCGAGCACCGGGCGGCTCCACCTCCAGGGCGTGCTCGCCGACACGTTCCGTGGCTACGGCGGCGGGCACCACCAGCACTTGGCCAGCCTGGCCGCGGCCCGCTACATGCCGAGGCTCCCGGCTTCCCGGCGCGGCATGCGTGCGCCGCGGATGCGGTGGACGAGTAGCCTGCACGCGCGTTTCGTCCACGCTGTCGAGCTCCTCGGTGGCCACGAGCGTGAGTCGTTAATTCCTCCGCTTGCATCCATCCATCCTCAGCTCCAGAACCCAATGAAACCATGCATTTCATGGAGATCTGCTTGGATCATTTCATGCGGGATATGATGATTAATCTCGCTCCCTCTCCCCGGCCGGCCTCTCTCGGCTCGGCGTCGGTACACAACATACAGGGGCGACGCCCAAGTCGGTGCTCGAGCTGATGGACGTCAAGGATCTGACGCTAGCGCATGTGAAGAGCCATTTGCAGGTTGAGTTCCGGCCGAGCTCTTCGTTCTTTAATTCTGCTTTCTACCGTGCGATTCCTTCTTTAATTCTGTCTGTGTTCTTGTTGCATCTGTTCTTGTTCTTGTTGGGGCTCATGTACAAGGAGGTCAAATCTTGATGAGGTGCCTGCCAGGGCACAGACTCCGAGTGAAGCTGAATGAGTGAGAAAGTCGTCAGATGTGATTGTGCAGACTAGCTAGCTAGCTAACTGCCCGCATCCCTAGAGAGAGGAGAGGGGGGGAGCTAGCTAGTTCAGTGTAATAGCTAGAGCGAGCCTAGAGAGAGAGGGGGAGAGAGATTGGATGTGTCGGGGTCTGTGTGTGGGCAAGAAAAGGTGCCATCATTGCACAATAATGCAACGTGTGTCTGCTCCTGCAAGACGCCCAATCCCCAAAGCAGTGAAGTGAGCGCTCAGCCAGGCAGCATGGGGACTGACGAGAGAGAAGAGCCAAGCAACCCCATTGCTAGCAATTTCCTTTGGACATTTCTGGCCGGCTGCTGCTCTGTTTTGCTGCGATTTCTTGAGCAACGATGGCCCTTCATGATCCGCTGTGCTTTACTACGCCTTTTCCCGGCCCTCTTCTCCCTCCCAATGCAAGCAAATACAGTAGTGTGTCTGCAGCTTTGCTTTCTTGGTCATTCTTTTGTTGCTGCTCCTTTTACAGATGTATAGGACCGTGAAGAGCACTGACAAGCCTGCAACCTCATCAGGTAAACAAATTACATCCGTCCATCCATCCATCCCCATTGCACAATATCACATCCTCCGTCAATTATGTTGAAGTCTCATTATATTTGTCATGTGTTCTTCAATTCCTCTCCAAAATTAAAACTCACTGCCAAGTCTAATCCTGTGACTAATTTCTTAACTAACGAACATTAGGGCCTGTGGACGGCGGTGGCGGCTCCGGCGACGATGACCTCCCGAGTAGTGCGCTGTGGGCTCCGTCGTCGTCAGCAGGTCGGGACGTCAGCCCGCAGGCGTTCACGGGACACCGGTCCGCCTCCTCGGAGGGCGCGGCGAGCCATGCGGGCGGCGACGTCGAATGCTCCTCAGCCGACGATTCCGATGGCGGCAGGGCGCGCAGTGCTTCGTCGTCAAGGTATACATAGGAGTATGTCTTTTTCGTCGTCCTGATCGCTGATATGATGTGGAAATTGCGTGGCTTGTCATGGGACGTGATGGACGATATATAGGAACAGCAATTAGCCTAATAAGAGCAAAAACAACCCAACTTTACTATCTTTTTGCATTTTATAAAGTAGTACTAGTTGTCAGCAAGCAAAAAGAGATAATCCACCAATCTGATGACAATATCACTAAAGCTCAAAAGATGTTAGACCCTACGCACATGCGCGCGACGCAGTATAGAGCCTAGCGATATCGATCTGCCGTTGTTGGCTTGATGAGCAGCATGGCATCGCAGATCAATAGCATCTCCAAGCTAGAGAGCCTGTGCTAGTACTGTAGATTCTTGGAATTTGGCCTTGTCCTCTTCTCTCGCTTTCTCTCTAGGAGGCTGCTGCCTGCTGCTTTTGCCTTTTCTTATCACTACGTCACTGCACCCTGCGGCTATCTGCAGGAGGGCCTAGCTTTGACCTCTCACAACTTTGCATGCATGCATCAATCTACAAATGTGATGTCAATTAAGAACTTGTTATGCATCTTGTTGTTAGCTAGTACTAGTGTGGACTTCACCTCTCACATTGCTGCCAATTATATGAAAAATTAACTTACAGCCACTAGCTAGAAGTACTAATGTTATGTTCTTGTTCATTAATACCTACGTTGAGTAGAAAATAGGAGGAAAATAAAGAAGCATGCATGTTACTTATGGTACGGTACAACTGACGAGCTCTCTCTGTGTCTCCTGATCTTATTATAATGAGCTCCTGCGTGCCTTTCATGTGAGCCTTTACAGTTCCACAGTCGATGATATTTGCTGTTAAGCTTGCCTGATACAAGTCAGTAGTGTTCAGAAAAAAGCTAGTTCCTGGTCGTCAGGTGAATTTGTACGTATATGTCCACAATAATCTGCCCAGTCACTCGCCCCACATATTAAATTAAAGCTCCCCGTAGAGACAAGAATATTTCTGGACACATATTAGTGGTCGGATTATAGATATCCAAGCGTGCAAAGACAGTCTTCGATCACAGGGATAGTACGTACGTAACCATATGCTTCTTCTAAAACACTAATCCTATGCTCCTACTTGCCTTAACAAGCTCTACGCTAATAATACTACATTGAAAAGATTTACATTGCAATGAACAAAATATTAATATTGAAGAACTAATAAAATATTGGGAATGTAGCTAGCATTCATGATTATTGTATATATACTAATTGTTTTCAGAAAATAATGATACAAATTAATTAGAATTTGGGATGAAAATGTCTAGATGGCTTTAAAAACTATGCAAAGATATTAGTGGCATCACATCATTTGAATTTTACACATAACATAACTGGTCCAATATTTTGGAATTGTGTTGGTCACATTGTAAATTAAAAAACGATTGATCTAAACTTCTGACAAGATAATTCTGGTTTGGTCATTTCCTCATTGTTAAGTAGTTGTTTTTATTTTGAGGGAGTATTTTTGCATCCATATGAAAAAATATGACATTATAAGTATAATAGAGGAAATTATGTTTTCCAAATGAACTTGCGAATAGGGTAATTTTATTTAGCAAAATTTGGTTAGTAGTAGTAAGGTGCAGTAGTGTGGTGATGGTGAAGCATGTGTGGTTTCTTCATGGAAAGCTATATAGTATTTTGAATTTAAAACGTACATTTTAAAGGTACATTATCATTCAAAGTTCAAACGAATTGACTACACATAACCCAAAATAGCAGTTAGTTATATAACTACTAGAGGGAGTAGTGATGTTGTCATATCGGATATGACGATCAATTGCAAATATGACATTTATATGTATGGAAACGAAATATTAATGATCTATATATACAAGTACGACCAGTCAAAAAATATATACAAGTACGATAAAGAAACGATGACATGAATAAAAAACAGTATCCTCTTCCAATTAGCAATTTATTCCTGCTCTATTAGATGAACTATCTATGCTTAATCGAATTTCCCAATCCTGATGGAATTTTTTAGTTCCCATGATGTTGGAGCTGTTAGAGAACAATTGTGCACCAACATGTTTTTTAGATATGGATAGAATTCCGGCTTCAAATAAACTCTTATACGAAGATGTAGTACAAGCTACCACAACACTATAGCCCGGCCCAATGATGACCTGTTGCCTAGATAGAACTTAAGGAGCTGGACCAGACCTATATGGCCACCTAGGTTTTTTGTGTTTATTGCTGTCCCTCACTATTCTGAATTAAAAGCATGCATATAAAATAAAACAGTATATATGAGACTGATATGTACAACAGTACATGTGTATTTACTAATGGCAAGGAGCCTTGCATTTATACCCGTAGTAACAAATTTTCAAACAAACTTCTCTTCAGAGATCAATGGCTGTCACCAAGTGCATGCAATGCAGACACCCGCCATTTAGTTGGCGTATCATCCACTTTTGAGGTACCAATGCCAACGATCTTGTTGTTTCTCTTCAGTTTGTATCTCTCATTAGCTCCATATACTAATATGATTGCGCATTTGGTTCAGGATATGGAGCCTTGTGGATCAGTTGGCTTGCAACAGGCACCCAGCCATGAAATGAGCTGCCCTACTCCTAGCCTGGAGTTCACGCTAGGGCGATCAAACTGGAATGGTGCAGAACATGACTAGCATCAGCGCTAGCTCGTGCTAGACACATGAATGGCACATTATTAGTTCAACACTTCAACTATACTTCTTACAATACCTTGATTGATCTTTGCATCATCAAGAATCTAGGAATGTGATGAAACAAAATGTGGAATAATATTAGTTTTGTGTTGTTCCGAAAATCGCATCGATCATAGTCTCCCTTTGGGTTTTGTTTTCTTAGTTTTTTTTAACATTTTGTCTTCTGTTGTGGTCATATAAAACAAAGGTATATATCATTGTTTTCATGATGGTAAGCTAGAGAAGGGAGCCTAAAAATTTATGTATATCATGATGAGTTGGGGTGACTAACAAATGTATCATTTGGCACGAGGAAAGGAAAATGGAAATCTGACCTGACGAGATGATTATTTCTTTTGTTTTGTGATGCATATGAATTCGTGTGCTTTATTATTTCTTTTGGTTTCTTCCATTTTGCTCATAAAATTAGTTGGATCTTTTACAACTACTCTACCACTTTATTAGCTGAACATTAGAGTGCATCACAATTATTGTTGTATGCTTATTAGTTAGTCTATGTTCGTGGTAAAATTTGGCTCTAGACAACATAAGTCTGTGTAGCTACAGGACACAATGTTGTTTGTTCCTAATTGTTTATTGTAACATTATGGACAATATTAGAAATTATAATTCCACAAAACAGAAAGACAAAAAAGTTATTTAGTTAATTTGTCCATTTTGGTGCATTTTCAGATTTTCTAAAAGAAATATAATTCAAATATAGGTGCACATGCAAGCAAGACATTTAGATTTTTTTTCCATATTTTTCTATATGAAATAATAGAATATTAATTGTATTGTAATAGTTCTATTTTCTGTAGCTGAGAACCGCAGACGCCAGTGAAGAACACAAAGGCATATCATGGCGGTATTGTGCTCAACATTTAGCCAAAGAAAGTTTATTGGTCTGTCAATACGCGATGGTATCTATATATAACACCTTCCACATCATTCCTAACACTGCCAAGGATCGGAGAGCCATTCAAAATGCATACAGTTTTGTATCTAGTCTATATGCAACTTGAAATATTATTGGACTGCAAAGCTAGATAGGAAAATATGGTGATTCACATATGCTTCAACAGATGATGAAAATGAGTCGAGGTTGGATAAAACAAAATGTGCATTTAGTAAGACAACGATATGGATTGAAAGGTTGTTAAAGGGACAGAGGTTAATAATAATGTACTCTACTTCATCTGGTGACAAAACCATGTTGTTCAGGGCAATATTTAGTTAAACCGTAAAAATTACAAACATCAATATAGCTCTAAAATTACTTGGTTTGGAAACATGTAGCTTATGACAATTGTATTGAAGAATACTTACAAAAAGAATACTTACAAAATATTATGAACCTAAAGGATTTTAAGAATATGTTCTATAAGAATTTATGGTCTAGCTAAGCTTGATATGCTTTGAAGACAGTGCAAATTCAAATGTGACATGTATTTTTACTAAAGAGAGTACAGAGTACTCATTAGCAGTATCTACATTACAAATTTACAACCCACCTGCTTGGTAGGATCTGTGAAGATCGATCCAAATCCCTAGGATTTTTTACAAATTTGAGGTGATAAGTTAATTTGTAAAACTACGTAAAGCATTCCTCCTTTTCACGTAGCAAAAGGAAAGGATAAAATAGTGGAAAAGGATGGCAAAGAAAGAAGCAGCCCAATCATAAAGCAATAGATTGCAAAATCGTTTTAGCAGTGGTCCATGGTTGGTCTGTCCCCTCATTGATGTCATTATCGTCATTCTCGCTTTTGCTTTGTCCTCCGCCCTTCTCTTCTGCTCCGTGTAACCCGTACGATCGACAGCCACAGGAGAGAGGGAGGGAGATGCATGGATGGGGGGCAAAAAAGATGGCAACAGCACAAAGAAAATAAAGGAAATAAAGCCATGTTCTGTGTAGCATCTGTGTGATGTTACTGTGCCCACTTGAATGTTTTGTCAGATCTCTCTCTCTCTCTCTCTCTCTCTCTGCCTGGCGTCATGCTACATTCATTTGCATATGGGACCTTTTGGCCCGATATAGAGATGGGGATGGTTTCAACTTTGGACCACGGCGCGCGTCTAGTGCTGTTGCTCATTCATCACGGTGTGACCTCCATTTTTTTGTGCCGTTGTTCAAAAAAAAAAAGCATGCATGTGAACTTCTATATATGTGTCCGTTTGGTGCAACGCGTAGAGATATCCAGATAATACAGAGGTAACATTTGAAATAGACTTAGCAAATATGTCTATGCTTTGTAATGGGAGAAAATAAACTATAGAATCAGGAGCGGAGCTTGGTGTAGGCCAGCATGGGCCATGGCCCCCCCTGCCCATAGCTGATTTACCATTGGGTTTGTGCCTTATGATCTTGTTATACTGTAAAATAATCATCAATTTCCTTCATAATATATTGCCATTTGATTCTTAGCCGATAAGTTTTTTATTTGAAACTGTGAACTTAAACAAATTTTGACATTTGAAATTTAAAATTTCCAAACAACCTCGGATGTTGATATATGGTCTATACTAAAGTTGTAATTCTCAACACAATCTACAACTCTGTAGTTGAAAAGTTTTTTATTTGAAATCATTTGTAATCCTAATAACTCCCAAATGTGCGTTTTAATTTCTTAGAGTCCCAAATATGCGTTTTAATTTCTAAATGGCCTTGAATGTTCACACAGTTAATGCCAAAGTTTTAGTGGCAAACCTAATATGCAAGGTTGCTATTGATAAGTTTTTTAATTGAAGTCGTTGTTTAGAGTCTTAAATATTTGTATCAAATTCACATTTTTTTAGGTTTACATTTTAAAATTTTCAAACAATCTCAAATATGGAGATACATCTGTACCAAAGTTGCAGTGCTTGACAAGATTCAAAACTTTTTAGTTGAAATGTGTTTTCCATTTGAAATCATTTTGGGACTGAAGTACTCAATACAAGATTACAAAATGGTGAAATAAAAATATAGCTATCTATATATAAATAATCACAAATGAGTGTGTAGTCCAGTGGGAGTCGCTATATGTGCTTACGATCATGAGTTTGAACCACCAGAGACACTAATATTAGTGTCTGGGTTTTCTAGAAACCTTTAATAGAGGTGGGCACCTGCTAAGTTTTCTGGAAACCAGAAACAGACATGGGCATCTTAAAGCTCCCATCTATATATGGAGATGGCATTAACAGTGTCTGTTAATCGATTTACAGAGATGGGCATGTGCATGTCTCTGAAAATGGCCAATTAGCATTGACCATTTGTCAGAGCAGACGTCGTGCCAGCCTTTGAAAATCCAAAATGGTCGCCTTTCACTAAAAAATGCTCGGCAACTCAAACTCTCGGTCTTCAGGGTTCACAGATGGCTTTCCTTTCCTTCCACTAAAAAATGCTCGGCAACTCAAACTCTCGGTATTAAGGGTTCACAGATGACTTCCCATCTATTAGCGACAAACATCTGGTGCGCAAAACCAATCAGAGCCTACATACAAGCAAAACACAAACATAAATAAAAAAGTACACAGGACTATATTAAAACTAATCAGAGCCTACTTAAATGAACTACATGCGGCTATGATCATGTGAGACCAAGAATCACCGAAAATGGAGTTTGAATAAAAAAGATATGGATATTCGAAGGTTTATTCGATTAAAGGGCATTTCGACTATTTCGTGTGAAATACGATCACGTGAATGAAATATATATCAATGGCATATTTAGACAAGTGTCAGGGTTATGATTCCCGGGTGTCTCAAGGCATCAATTAGTTAGCAGGCCAAGCGGCCCACGATACATCAGCTGGCGAAGGCCTGAACGACCGAGGCCCGGCTGAGCCAAGTGAACCAGGCCGGACGCCAAGGCTAGGGTCAGCCATGACCCCTCCCTTCAGCCTTAGCCGCACAACGCACAAGAAACTCACGACCTCTCCACCGTCCCGACCCTCGGGAGGAACGGGGAGAGGTCGAGCCCAGTCAAGAGCACCTGCTCTGACAGGAGTAGACACGCCGCACTGACCCCGCAAGGACCGAGGGGACAGCGGTCACCTCAGTCCGGTTAGACGCCATCCCTGTGCCACATAGCACGGACAAGACAACACCGCACGGTGGTGATGGCTAGTACGGCGACCTGCCGCCCAAATACGGTCCGACAAGATATACGTACGATCCTACCTACTACGGGATGGGATCCACGATGGAGGCTTTGACTTAGAGGCCACCCAAGTCGACAGGAGCCACGACCCTGGAGCCCGGGATCGTGGTCACCAACTCCACAAGACTAACCAGGCGATCGATGATCTGGGGGCAGCTACCAACTCTGGTATGACACCCCCAGAAGACAGGATGCAATGACGAAGGCCATAATGGAGACCACGTCACCTAGGATGGCTGGCGAACCACCACCGTGCCTACAGTGCCGCCACGGCCGGCATAGTAGCACCACGCCACACCTTACTACGATGTGGGCACAAGACCATGACGACAACCACGCCCAGAAGTACTTCACAAGACGGCGTAGCTTGCAAGCCAAGTTAGTTAGGCCCCTCCCTCAGTCTCATGACCCCTCGGTCGGGAGAACCTTCTTCTTTGTACATGCTCTGGCCCCGGACTCTATATAAGGGCAGCCAGGGCATTTTTTCAATCATCTTCAACTCATTCTCACCATAGTAGGGCTTCTGAAGCTTCCCTTCGGGTAGTTCATCGCCTAGCTCTAGCTCTCCTACCTTTTCCACCATTCTTGCACCCCCATTGTAAGAACTTCAGAGCATAAGCGAGGAACACGCACTCGATCACCTCTGAGACTGGACGTAGGGCTCTGACCTAAACCAATATAAATCCTCATGTCTTTTGGATGCTACCATCGTCTTCCTAGGGCAGCGCGACAATCATATAAGTTTACTAGTCCGGTTTATAAAACACCGATAGTTGGCGCGCCAGGTAGGGGGCAATCACGCACTCTCATTGCTGA